TAGATATCTTCATGCAGATTCTTCATTATTTAATTCCTTTAAATATAATACAAGGCGATAATATTTGGTGGTAACAGTTTAAAGAGTGATTCGCCATAAATACTGAAACGCCGTTTGAATAACGCCACCGCTTTGGGCTAATAAAAAGTATTTTTAATAAATTTTAATTTTCTCTGATTAAATACTCATTAAATCAGACATAAACAGTAATAATAATGTCGAAAAAAAGAAATCCAAATTTATGTTTATTTTCTATCTGAAATCTGATTTTTGCTACCTGCAAGACATTTCTGTTTGTGTTACTTTATTTCAACTAATTTTAACATTTTTAATTCAATCCTTAAATAAGTTATTTTAATACAAATTAAAAATAAACAATTCAGGAAAGCTTTCCAAGCGGGACAAAACTTCAAAATAAATAATTTCAACCTGGTTTCTTTGTCTTAGTTATTAAATTTTTCTTCCGCGTACGTTTATACGTAAATAAACTTCTTTATTTCTTACTACAGTTGGACACTTGATGGTGCTTCGATTCTGAGAAAGTTTGTGGTCTTAGAGAGAAATTACCAGAAATTATCTTCATCACGAACTGCAGAAGCTTCTTGGTCATACTTTTTTTTTCTTATTAATTTTCAACTGTGGAAAACAGCAGTCAGTATATAAAAGATTCCAAAACAAAGCAATTATTCTTAATTAATTATTTTTTGTGACTTATCTCACTTGTGTGATAATAACATCAGAACAAGCCCACGACGTTCATCGTGGCAAGGACAGCAAGTTTGGCCCCGTCGTTGTCTAGAGCCTTCAGGGCCCTACAGGTGATATTATGACTTAGCTTAGTTCCAGCCCCAAGATGAGATCAATAATTTGATACTCAGCATGCCTAGGCGTTGTACGGACTGTATTGCATCGTCTGGGAGGCATACAATGTATTAACAATCATACCAACCATGTAATAGTGGTTTTTTGTAAATAGGTTTTTTTTGTAATTTTCTCCAGGGAGAAAAAATCGCTAATTGTTTTTAATAATATCAAACATATAGCATCTTTTTTTGCTCTTTACCTTTTGTTTAATAAATAAGCTTTACCAGGGTTCGTACACATTTCCTTACATGAAAATGAAGGACTTTTAAGGACCATCAAAGAAAAAATTAAGGACCTATCAGCAAACGAAAAAATGAATAGAATAAAGCAATTATCCATACAACCGACTTCATGCTTGTAATTTCATTTTAAGACTTCACGCTTCACGCTTTCGTCACAATCTGCCTAAATTGATGGATAACACCTGTTTCGAAAATCTTTTTTTTTTTTTTTTTTTTTTTTTTTTTTTTTTTATCGTTTGCAACGCAAATCCGCCAACAGATTGGTTAAGAGCCGTGTAATTTTAATTTCATATTCATGAGAAATCGTAATTCACACTTAGAATGACAATCATTAGAAATGATAAGAAATGTCAAATGAACAAAATTAAGGACCGTTTATTCATTTTGGCCAAAATTAAGGACTTTTAAGGACCAAAAATCATTTTTGAAAAAATTAAGGATTTTTAAGGACCAAAAATCATTTTTGAAAAAATTAAGGATTTTTAAGGACCGTACGAACCCTGTTTACAAATAAGTCAAATTCGTTTTGCTTCTACTCTTCCTTTGCCTGATTTTGCATTATCCTTAATTTATGGACATGAGTGTATTTAGTTCTCCCCATACCGCAAAGACACTATACATTTAAAAACATCCATGCCTTCTGCGGGATTCGAACCCGAGCCCTTTGGTATCGCAGTAGGCTCCTCTAACCACTATACCGTATGGGCAGCTAAATAAGATTCATATATATAATATACGTATAATATTTTAAAATGAGATTTAAATCACACTGCAAAATAATTAACTTCTTTTATAGAATTTGTGGTGCATCATTTATGCTCGTGTTTAATGGTAATAAAAAATAAGAGGTACAAATAAATGGAAACTTTTTTTTTACAATAACAGCTTTTATTGTTATTGTAAAAAATAACAATAAAAGTTGTTATATCATATAAAAGTAGTTATCAACAATAACTGTTATTGTTGATGCTGATGCTCACTCGTCTGACATATAGGCAGCCCAAGCCCATGAATTTCTCGTGACAATGAGATTACGCCTGTAGTTGGCAACAGTCTTGAGCACCTTACAGGTGATAGTGTGATTTTAGCTCAGTTCCGCTCCCAATTTTGATAGACAGCCCCCCGTGCGGGGGGGTATCGAGGATCTCCTACCGCTGTCCCCTAAGAGGACATTCGGCTCCCCGCATTAGAGTGCCCCTATGCTGTACAGACACTATACATTTACAAACATCCGCGCCTTCTCCGAGATTCGAACCCGGGCCCTTCGGCATGGCAATCAGCGATGGTAACCACTATACCGGTTCGCTGGCTTGCAACAAACACGTAACTGAAATGTTTCAACCGAGCGCACAATATTACTTCCGAGCTACATGTGACCACGTGGGCCTGCAATTTGAGACCACCGACCTATTCCATCAAATTTAACAAAGCTACTTTAAATTGTAGAAGAATTATTTTAACTTAACAGTGGCAGCTTAAATCACATCACTAACACCTTAAAAATTATTTCTTCGTTTCCGCATGAGGTCTAGCTGAATATTAAATGTTTTCAGTGTTCTTTAAGTAATTTTATGTCATGCTTTAACTGATTCGTGGTTTGATATATTCTTTTTTTTACAGGCACGTGGACTTAATTTAAAATAATTAATCAAATGCTTGTTTCGGCTTTAAAAAATATCTTGTGTGACTTCCACATGACTTCCTTGTGCGGCTTATTTAAGTAATTTTTTTAGGAAAAAAATAAACTTATACTAAATATTGTTAGAGATTTATTGTTACACGAACAGCATACATAAACTGTAACATATATAGTAGTAACAAAATACAGTATCACATTTTTTTAAACAAAATTATCCCAATATTATTTTCGAGCGATATGCTGTTGGAAAATGGATCAGTTACAGATAAAATGGTAAGAAATTTAGAACCGAAACCACACAGACATGAAAGCAATAAAATTTTTTAAAAATGAAATTTAAAATAATTTTTTTTGTTAATTTGACATTACAAAAACATGAATATTTTCGCCATTTAAAACATTTCTGTAACTGAAAGTATATAACTACGACCAACGATTGCGAAAGTAAAGGCCGGATACACTTTTTAAGTTTAGTAAGAGGTGGAGATATATATATATGAAATAATAAGAGCACAAGGAAAAGGGGGAGCAGTGTCGATGCGTGCTTAGATCCATATTGAAGAAGAATTTTGATTGCGTAGTATGCTAATAATGTTAACTTGGTAATATCTGAAGAACTTGGCAGTCGAGGCAGTTTCAATTCCATTTTATTTGCAACTGATATCTGTGGTCACAATCACTTGGCACTCTGGTCGTGCCTTTCCACAGAAGATTTACATTTTTGATATTGTTGAGATAGAAAGCAAGCCAGCGAAATTACATCTTAGCACAGTAGACAGCAAAGCTGAAGTGCGTAGTTATGCAAGATGGAAGCACGCGAAGAGAAAAAATTTTGGTTTGCAATTTGGTGATTGGTCAAGAGGCATCTGCATTAAGGGTTACCTAAGATCGCATGATTAATTTGAATGACGCAGTTTAGACTTAAGCGCTATTTTTAGGACAGATAGATGAAGTTCCCAAATTAAATAGAAAATAAGAGAGGTTATAGTGAATTAAATTTAGAAGTTTGCTTTCAGATTTTTTATCTTACATATATACGTATCTAATTAGCAATTCTAATTAGCAATCATCTCCCTTAAACTCAACTTACTTAAACACATTTTACTAAAAAGTTAACTGAATGTCATGATTCTTGAGAAAAAGACGAAACACTTTCGCATTTATTAATTATTGTTAACTGATTAGAAGTTAGTTTGTTCCCCTTGAAAAGTCAACTAATTTCCGATCAGTGACGATTATTGCTGGGTTTCTTGATAGCATTTTCACTTTTAATTATACCTTTTTAATGTTTCTATGTTAGTTAAATTTATTCAAGATTCGGTTTTTAAATATGCTAATGAGTTACTTAATTTCAATAGAATTCTAACTACTTTTGTCAAAGGATCCTAACTACTTTTGTATACTAAATAATCTATTAGAAAATAAATTATTATTTCATTACTTTGCAGCCTTAGCATAACTATTAGGCAATTTAAAAAAACTTTTTTTACTTCTAAAATATTTACTCTTTCTACTAAAAAAAACCTTACTTTTACTACTGAAAAACCTTACTATTAAAAAACTTTACTTTTTTATTACTAAAAATTGCTTTTATTTAATTAAATTACAAAGAAATTTTTTTACTACTACTCAATTTGCCAATAATATCTAAATATATATAAAAAAAATTCATAAGCTTAACGTAAAAAAAGAGTGCTTTACTCTGTCCATACATACAGACATCAAGCAAAAAAAAACCGTCCAAATTGATTCGGGAACATTCAAAATGTATATTTTCTTTGAAAAGCCATACCCGAAATTTTTCGCAAATACAGTACTTTATTTACTTTGTACAAGGAAGTAAAAAAAATAATGCGTGATTATAACTTTAAATGTAGAAATTGATACATTACATTATTTTCAAAATTTGACTTTTTATGTACATTCATGATAATATTCATATCATATTAACTTTTATTTTGAAACTTTAAAGTTACGCGGGAAACCTGTTAAAAAACTCTCGCTTAAAAGACGAGTGATTCTTATTAGTTTAATCAGAAACTGCAAAGAATAATAACAATTAACTGAGCATTTTATAATGTTTGCCTTGATAAACCATTTGAATCTTTCGCATGCAGTTAGTTGGAAGAGCATACACCCATTGAAAATTTGGCGATCGCTAAAAGCTCTTAAAATCGCCAAGCGCGAGAAAAAGTAATCTGTCCAGGAAACATCAACGTCGACTCTCATCTGTTCTTTGAAAGTTAGAAGAGAGCTAGCTCCCTCTCGCGAGCGTTGACAGCGCTGCCGCCCGTTCCCTTATATGGCGGCCAGACGATTTTAGCAACAACGACTCAACTGTGCTTCTTGGGATGTAAAATGACGACAACATCTCTTTCAACTTTTTTTAATTCTCCTCGACCTGAAATCATCTCCACCTGAAACATATCGTCTGCCTGGGTTGTTCGAGAACCTGTCGACATGTGATCTTTTCATAAACAGAACGTTGATCCCGGTGAAATGATATTCTGAACAATGATTAAATATCTTGGATAACTACTAATCTTCCTGTTAAGTCACGGTTAGTGTTCGAAAAAAGACTGCGTAGGTGATAACTGAAAATTTTGTGATTGCATCGAATATCACGCGAATATTTCAAACAGTAGCTAGCAGACGACAGTGATGAGGAACATGTGACAGCGGAAAAGAATTTATTTTGTGATAACCGGAAGTGCTGCAATTCTATTAGAGATGTGTTAAGTGGGATATTATTTTATGAGACTGCCTTGAGTAAGTTTTGTTTTTGAAACTTTAGTATACAGCAAATGTTTACGTTGAATTGTGCAAGGAAGATTTAACTGCAAAATCGTTTTGAGCAAAATATTTAAGGGTCAATATATTTAATTTTTTTTTTGTTTAGTTTGGTGAGATTAAGATAATTGTAAAGAATTTATCTGTTTCTGTTTCAATAGAAATCTGATAATCTATTTGCTATAGCTATAATAATTTAATATTGTTTTAGTTTGTTTTTAGTATTTTAAATATAGTTAATACTATTATTATTATTATATTTAGAATATTGTAATTATTTTTAGAGGAGTAAACTAAATATTTATCAGTTAATACCTCCTGTGTATTCACAGTAAATTTGAAGAGAATTAAGTTTAAGTTTTTAATTGTATTTCATCTGCCATTAATATTCCATATAGTGTGGTAAATTTTAATAATAATTTTCTCTCATCTAAAAACTTTCGAAAGTGACGGTTGAATTTATATGCAGTTTAATTAATCTGAATTAATATGCAATTTATTTAATTTCATGAATAAGGTTTTTTAATTTATTCATAATCGTAAAAGTACTGCTCAGAGTCTCAAGTCAAGAAAATTTAAGATAATTATTTTGTTAACATAAAGAAATTTAAGCAATTGCTAAAATTACAAATACATATCGGCTGACATATTTTCTTCAAAATGTAATGAAAGGTGTAGGAATTGTTATCACATATTTTTGTGCAAAATCCTGTTGATTCATTGAACAAACTAGGTGCATCAGTTTCTATTTAGTATGCTCACTAATCATGTGAGCTGCCATTATGTAGTGACCTCTGTGACTTTCTATCATAGTGCCTTAGTGGATTTAACTCGCAGCCGTTCCGTCCATGCCGTAGAGCACGATCCATGTTGTCCTGATCCAACTAAACTCTCAGCTTCGGAATGCAAAGCTGTCCATTATGGATTGTGCTCTCCACTTTTGAAACTGCCCTCTTTCTCCATTCCTCCAGCTGTAACGTCGACCCCATCATCTCCAGCCACTCCTAAGGGTAGCAGCTCTTCCCCTTTGGTATCTTCAACCCCAAGCTCTCCTGTTACGCCTAAAGGAACAGCACCCACTATCGCTGAACTCTTAGGTGCTGCTGCACTTTCAAATAGAAACACTCCAACAACGGTTTCTTCACCTATTTTACTTAGGTCAACCTCACCAGTGGTATCCAGCCCTGCTGTTTGTTCGCCAAATCCGGCAGGTACGCAGAGCAAGATGACATCGCCTACTGCTGTAGTGCCAACCACTAATGCTGTAGGATCTTCTCAGATGGAAATGTTAGATCCAGTGACTCTGTTAGCATCAGATCTTGAAGATCAGCTTGAAGCACTTGTAAACACATTTGTTGCCCAAGACAAAGTAAGACTAGCGGCTCGAAAGAAAGCAGAAACTTCACCTGGGGGAGGTAAAACTTCTCCTTCGACAAATAAAACGATATCACCTATTAAGAAATATGATAAGAAAATCAAGGAAGATAGGTCTTCCGATGACGAATCAGCATCTTCTCTTTCTAGCGAAACTTCTCAGTCTTCTAAATCTGATGGTCATTCGAAGAGAACAACAGGAAATAAAACTATAAAAAACTCTAAAGTTGCTTCAGATGCAGGAATAAATGATATTAAAAGATTTTCCTCAACTGATGTTCATTCTGATAGAAATTTTCATCCCTTCGAAGGCAGTGAGCTTAAGCAAGCTAATATGTTCGTTGCGCAATTTGAAGACATGTATGAAAGGGCATCCTCGCCGTCTCTCAAAACATCAGTTCTACCATCTTTGAAACCATCAGCTGAGTATCAACAAACAGGTGTTAAAGCACAGATTACAAAATTTGCATCGAAAGAAAAAGATACTTTTCAAAACTCTCCAACAAATTCTCTTGAACGACGCCAATCTCCAAAATTCAAATATGATGCTCAAGAACAGTTCACTCAACCTGGGGTCTCAAGAAGCGGTCCTCTTACATTAGATGCCTTACAAGAACTTTTGCTGACATCATCTGGTACTGATACTTCTGTGCAACCTATACAAACTACTATCTTTCAGAGTACAAGGGTTCCTACTACGCCTTATACTGGCCCAACTCCTGTGGTGCACAGTTCTGCTAAAATTTACAATGAGCGAAATGAAAATTATCCCTCATGCTATATTAACGAAGCTTGCAAAGAATTTGACCATGATGTGTCTCGGATTGCTAAAGCAAGTGCTAGTCAAAGTAATAATTATATTCCCCATGTTTCTGCTAAATCTGGGCAAGAACATGTTCAGTCTGCTGTGGATTATGCCAAAACAAGATTTCAGAATGTTCAGCAGGGACATAGCAAAGATGATACCGAGGCCAAAGTAATAAAGAATGGACATCTAGTCAGTGACGCCAAATCTAAGTGGGAGAATCACCCCCAGCAAAATTGGAATGATCATCAACTAGTCACAGAAGTGGATAGTTCCCTTCCAGAACCTTTGAGGGAGGCATTACAAAGAGGCAGTCATAAGAGGACCTTGTCCATGGAAGGTCTCTTGGATGTTCCAAGTCCTTCCATTCCCCATCCTAAACTTACGTCTGCTCAAAAGCAACATATTAAAGAGCGGTCCCTCTCACCAACTGACCGCCATTCCCATGTGCCTATTCGTCCATTTTTGACAAAAGGATCTGTAGCTGAAAGAGTTTTACTGTTTGAGTGCTGCCCAGATAGGGCTCTTGAGAGAACATCATCTGGAAATAAATCGAAACCCAATCTTATTAGCACCTGGAGACCGGGAAGTAGTGATGTTCAGAATAAAACACAGGTGAGTAACATTTACAATTATTTTTTGTTCCATGCCATTTAATGTCATGTTTATTTTTTGGATTTTATAATAGTTGATAAAATATTTCACTGATTTTTATTTACAAAAATAAAATTATAGCTTACTATATGATTTTTCGATACAAAAATTTATTTACTGCCCAATTAAGCTAGTATACTGAGAAAAAATTACTACGTGATTGGAACTACGATATTTGAAATACATCGCCAATATATCAATAATACCATATCAAGAAATCAATGTCATGTATTTTAAATATGCTATAAATCCTTTATAATAATTATTTATCAGTTATCTTTAGTAGATTTAGAGGCCTATTAACATTCAGCCTTTACAGAGGGATTTAAAATGTATAATATTTATTTTGTCTCATGTTATTGTTGAAATCTGAACGGTTTGCGGATAATTTACAATTAATTTCTAGCCTGTTGTTAGTCGGCTAAATTAAAATGAAATGTATGTTTGCTTGGCTAATTTCATATAATATCGTGTAATATTGTTTTATTAAGAAAACCAAAATCTCGATTGTTACTGAGACTTGTACCTAGAATCTTTTTCCTGCAGGTTGACGTTATCGTTAGCTGTTCGTAAGTTCTACTAAATATTGTAATTTGGACTTTAAGGACCTTTTCCCTTGACTTCAGATTAACCAGATGCGAAGTTCAGTCGTGTTTTAGGTATCCTTTTAAAATTATTTAGTGTTACGTTGGAAATCGTATCTGTAAGATATCGTTGAAGATCATATCTTCTCTCATATATATGTAAAGTTTTTGTTCTTAATTGTAGACGGAATGAGACGGAATAAACGCTGTGTAAGTAATTAAAGCAGAATTAAAGTTGGATTTTATAATAGTTGATAAAATATTCCTCTTATTTTTATTTACAAAAATAAAATTATACATAATTATATGACTTTTCGATACAAAAAATTATTTACTGATAAAAATATTTTTTACAGTGTTGCCATTTTTCGCTTTGTTTGGAGTATATTAATCAAAAATTTGTTAACGTTTTGCAAGATATGAGATAGATAATAAAACAAATCGCCAAATTTTAGCTTCCAGATTCGAGTGGAGGATTACGTTATTCAAAATCTGATGTTTCTAGGTACCGTTGTCTTTTCACAGTACGAGAAACATACATACATTCATGCAAATTCTTCATTATTTAATTTTTTTAGTATAATGCAGAAGTGTAATATTTGGTGGCAACAAGTTGAAGATTGAAACGCCGTTTTATATAACGGACGACTCAAAATGCCAGTTTGAAATTAATAGCCCTTCTGAGCAAATTGCCCCTTCGGGTTAATTATCAATTTTTTAATTTTTTTATAATTAATGGGAATTTAATTAGCTGATCGTTTTCCGGTGTATATTTGGCTATCGGAACCCCTCGATCATCATTGACCTCCTTGAAAATTTCATCGAAACCCAAATGGTAAATACCGACCCATTTGAGAGCACTTGGTTTAATCTTTAACTTGTGTAAGTTCCAAAATTTATTTAAATTTCCAATTTTATTTAGACCGCGGTAAGTGCAATCAGCTGAGCAAATCGTGCTGAAAGCGCTGCATATCCTTTAGCATTCCAAAAAAAAAAAAAAAATTACGAATGTCATAAATAAGCATATGCAGTGGAATAATCTTCAGAAAATAAATAACGTACGAAAATACTTTTGTATATTCCGAGGGCAAATCAATTTTTAGTAAACTAAACTTCAATGTAAACCGTTTTATTTTATTTTTAGCCCATAGGGCGTTAGACCAGAAGGGCTATTAATTTCATTTTGGAATTTTGCGTTGGTTCACTATGAACGGCGTTTCATTTTTCAGATTGTTTGCACCAAATATTACAGCCATATTTAAAGAAATTAAATAATGAAGAATCTGCATGAAGTATGTATGTTTCTCGCACTGTGAAGAAAACAACGGAACCTAGTGACATCAAATTTTGAATAACGTAGTCTTCCACTCGAATATGGGCACCTGGAAGCCCAAATTTGTAATTTGTTTTATTATCTATTTCATATTTTGTAAATTTTAAAACAAATTTTTGATTAACAAACTGAACGATTTCAAAGCGAGCAATAGCAGAAATACACGTGAAAAAAAATAATTTTTATCTTCAGCGCATGAGACAGTGTATCGGAAATTCCAAAGATATGCTCTTTTAATATTATTTTTGGATATTGCTGTTGAATTGAATTTTATTATTTAAGTGCGATGAGCATGATATTTAATAAATAAAGTTAACACTCAAAACTTTAAAAAAAATCGCCCCTTCGGAGCATAATATAAAATCTAAATGTTTTCAGATTCTTTAGTTTTATAGTATTTATTTATTATTTTTTTACGTAAATCTCTGTCATTTTCATTAATTCAAAACGCTGTGGGTGATCTTGTTCTTCATTGTTGTGCGTCAGCCTTCCATGGCCCTGTAACAGGAAAGGAAATTATTTTGTAACACAGTAATTCAATACCGTAACACAGTAGTCGCAGAAGCGTAATTCATCGAGGTAGACTGGGAAGTTTCCTTTTATGCGGATGAAATGGAGTATTAGTTTCCAAGTTGAGAACGTGATTATATTGTAAAGTATGTTTTTCAGAGTATCACTGTGTGTTTGGAAGGAAGGGTATCAAATGTTTGATATGCCGCTTTAATATTTATGGGTACGTTGTCGTCACACCCAAAATGCTTCTTATTTGTCTTGCAATAGAAGATTTGTATATTTATTTTGATTTTTTTAATGGCCGGAGGCTTTATTATAAATGGCCGGAACTGGTGGCCAATTCATTATGAAAGCAGCTAGGCGGCCACCGTTTTCTCTCATGAAGGAACGGACATTTACAACGATGCCTTCTCCGGGATTCGAATCCGGGCCCATTGCTACGGCTGTCAGGGTCAATACCACTTTATCGGTTGGGCAGAAAATTTAATTAGATTTATTCTGCATAATATAAACAAACTATTAACCATTTCCTTTCATTTATATACAAAAATCTGGTAAATACATTTTCCATACTCTGTTGGAAATTTTCGTTCATTTATTATTCGCTAATTAATGTACGATAATTATTCAACCTTTATTCAGTTTATTTTTCACCTTCTGTAGTTTTGGTTTTTGGATCAAATGAAAAACACTGAAAAGGCACAATATTTAAAAATTGAAATTAAAAAGAAATTAATTAAACGTTGAAGAATATAACAAATAATTTGAATAAATAAAATTTTAAATCGCTAAAACATTTTAATTATTACACTAAAATTTCAGATAATAAAATTAGGTATTTTTGTTTTAATAATTTAATTAATATATTTAATAATTTTAACTTTTTAGCAATATAAATAAGTAAACAAAAACTTATAGTCACCTATTCTTTTGAATAATTTAATTACGCATACTCAGGAAAATGTGTGATGAAGATTTATGAATTGAACACGATGCTTTCATATTATGCATTTTAAAGGAAAACTAATAATCATTTAAAAACTGAAAAGTGATTTTAATATTATCTAAATGCTACTGCTTTTTTCAAAAAAAAAAAAATCACTAAATTTTGTTGAATCATATTAAATCTTTTTTGAAAAATTTTGTATACATCCGTACAACGGTTTATTTTGCATTTTAGTGAATACGAACTAATGTATAGAAAACATGCGTGTTTAGTATATCATTATTTAATGTGTTGTATATTTCTTTACTATTTTGATTGTATTAAAAGTATGCTATTAGTCTCGAAACGCGATTTTACGTTGTTTCACTCTTTCATTCGACGCTGTTGCCATTTGCGCAAAATGTAATGTTACGAATTTAGTACCTATGTGAATAATTTTAGTGAAATTGTAGTATTTTTTTGCATAATGTAATACGAAAATCTAGCGAAGCGTTGCTTTGCCATAAAAGTAAAGGATACAGGAACAAATGCTGTCGGGCTAAATTTGCGAAATATCGCCAAGCTGGCAATTTTGTCGCCCTCGCCAAACTTGGCGACATTTTGGTCCGCCCTTTGTATAACTGTAATGGGTATTGTAAATGACTAACTGTAATTAATCTATACATGCAACTGTAACCGTATCCGGCCATTCTTAACTTTAACCATATATGGCTTCCAGTAATTTCGAGAAATGGAATGTACTAGAGATATCTAGGCGAACGGGTGAAAACTATATAAGACCGAAGACAGACTCTGGAGTATAGAGATATCCACGACAGCATCGCCTTTTAAGGTGCATCGCTATGCATTGCATTGTGTTTAAAGCTCTCAGTAGTCTGAAGTGTGACTACTGACTATACTATGTGATACCGTGAAGAGCTGTACGAGTAGTTCTGTGGGAAGCTCCAGAACTCTGAAATGCTTCTTTTGTTGAAATAAATTTTATCAAGCTATCATAGGTCCTGTGTGCATTCAATCTATTACGAACGTAACAATAGCTATCTTGCAGATTTAATCTGTATGCTGTTCATGAACTAAGTATGCTATTTAAAAGCAATACATGCAGTTCTTAAGATTAGCTTTTTACTTTTGAATCTGGTTAAATAAAAATGCATTAAATTCATGATATAGTTAATTAAAAATATTAAATATTTTCATACAATTGCATCAATATATTTTTACTTCTAAAATATACAGAAGGTATGTAGCATTCCTATGTTAGCCTTAATCTATATTCATCTAATATCCTACAAAATGCTTGGCTAAACCTGGGCCATTTGATAATCTCCAGTGATAAGCCATATTAAACTTTTGGACGAATGTTATCTAAATTTTTTTAGGATATTTTTGTTGCATTTATTTTCACATTATTATTATTTTTTAACGATTCCTGATTTATATATGTCGCAATATGTTTGGAAACTTTAGAGATCGACAGTCCTTGAATTATTTTTCAAATCACAAGGAACATTTATAAAAAATTATTTTTAAACGAATGTACTTAACAGATAATTACAGATTAGTTTAGTCAATAAATTGTGCATATAATAGTCCAAAATGATTGGCAATGTTATTTTAAGGAGAGAGT